CTCGTGATCCACCCGCCTCGGCCTCCCAAAGTGCTGGGATTACAGGCGTGAGCCACCGCGCCCGGCCCGGCCCTGGATTTTTAATAGGGATATCCGGCTGCTCAAGCTTTGCTGATGGTCTCCCTTTTCCTCTGGTCATTCTTCTGAGCAGAGAGGCTGGGTTAGTAAGTCTTGCTCTTGAATCCCAGCTTTAAATAACTGCAGATGAGGCCACTGATGGAAATCTTCAAGCTTACATCTGACATACCATTGCACCACAATTTTAGTGACTAAAAGTAAAAACACGACCTAGGCCAAAGCAATCGAATTTGAGTGTTTTTATTTCAGGTTCATTTTTTTTTTTCCACATATTTTTTCAGCTAGAATGAACAGTCAAAACATGTCAAGGAGAAAAATCAAGCTGTTCATCAGAAAAACAATTTTTTCATTGGTTTGTCAATGTGATTAAGTATTATAGACATACTAACAAAAATGAAAAAAAATCAGTACCTATATATTCCAAATTTTGCAAGTTTTTCAACTTTACATTTTAATTATTCTTTTAAATCCATACAATCACTACAGAAAGTAAATATATGATTCAGGATATATTTCCTACTAATGGTTGGAAAATTTGTGGCACTTGGTTTTCAAGTCATCTGTAAAGATTTCATCTGTACTAACCATTTAATTAGAAAAAATATGCAAAGTAGTGCTATGATGGAAATTTCAAAATATTTGATAGGAAGTACAATTAAAGTTTATATGTTGAGAACAGAATATATTTCATTTTGTTGGAGTATATGGTGTCTTCTAACTAGTTAATATACTTTTCCGGCAGCAGCAAATTTAAGCCATATGTCATCAATGATTGCTCAGATCACTTTAAGTGTATAGTCTGTTACATTAAATAACCTTATTTAGGTAACTGCTTTGAACATTTGGTAGACTCAAGCACTTCTTAAAGTTTTCAGTTATTGATTTTTAAATCTGCTTTGTAGGTATAAGCCTCTGAGGGGGCCAAGCATAATTATGTTCCCCACCCTGATGGTCTTTGCCTTTGATAACCACCCGTGGTTACTATGCCAGCTAGTCAATAAGCATTTATTGAGACCCTGCTGTGGGGCTGAGACCTATACTAGGGCTGAGAAGCAAACGCTCTAAAAACAAAAGATTGTTTGTCTAGAGAAGTTTATCATTACATTGGTGGTTTTCATGAGCATGAGCCAACATGAGTTTCCTTGATTTTCTTGTTTATCAACAGCAACGACAAAAATGTTTTTCTAGGGATAGCATTGGCTTTGGCAACCCCTTAAGCAGATAAGAGGAAAGAAAGCTTGCACTAACCAATAACAAAAAAATGATGCAATATATGTAGAATCTGGTAGGATCATCCCCAGAGGTTTGCATATCCATAGATTAGATTTACAGCATAAAGTACTGGAACATATTTCTTAATTGTACATATATTAGGTTAAATGTATTCTAATCTTTCATGTTTCAAGAGTAAAATGTCAAGACATTTTTGTGATTTCCTCTAACTAGTAAGACAGGTGGGAGGTTCTTTGTGAGGATTTCCAACCAAGCCATATACAGCAAATCCGATATGGATCCTTTTCTTGCCACTGGAAGGCTCCTAGTGACATGAAAGAAAAATTTAAAAATGAAAGTGAAAATTACTATAGGAAGTAACGGCAACAGCATTTCTGAACTATTTAATAACCGGCAGCCTTAACTTTTACCTTAACCCAAAATGAAAACACTGAAATTATTATTATATAGATACCAAACTGATGTATTTCTTAGGCAATACAAATACCTATAAGCCAGAAAAACAGAGTTAAGTATTGTAAAGACAAAACAAAAATGTACATTTTCACTTTTCTTTGAATAGGGAATTTGATCAATTAATACCTGCCCACCTTTTTGGTGTAAATGATTTTTTCCAATAATTTAAATATCTTATATTTGGGAAAAACCTCAGAAACCATCTACTGGAACCCTACTACCCAATTCAGGAGACCATCCTACAATATCTTTGATGGATTGCTTTCCCAGTCTACATTATGTAAAGACATATTTATCTTTATACACAGGAGTCAATTCATGAGGTATAAATGTGAAGTCGTTGGAGGTTTTCATGTTTAAATACCAATATTTAAGTAAGCAAACACACATTTTCAGTAAACACAACCAGAGTATAAAGGTGAAAACGGAAATGGCTCTGCCTTTTTCTCCTACCCTGACCTGTTCTCACAGTACAGGGAGCCTCATGAACCTGCCATGGGCACAGCAGCTCAGGGACACCCACCCAGGGAAAGAGCCTGTGAGCTGTGGTAGCTGACTTGCAGCTGTCAGGCAGGGAAGTCCAGGGTCTTAGGTTCCTGGAGCATGGTCTTACTAGATGGGCACACGCTTCTGGATAAGGCATGGCAGACAGCAAGTTGAATCGAGGCTCTCTGACACTCACGGGCCTGAGGGGTCAGGGTCTTAGGGTGGCACTTACCTTTCTTTACTGTCTAAGAATCCCACATGTTGCCCCCCAAAACTAAAATTCCCACCTGAAGAGCCGAAAGCTTTTAAATGGATTAACCCATTTATCCTGATTTATTTCTAACATTCTTCAATGCTTGCAATGATACTTACAGGACAATGAGATTAGCGGCTCTTGAGTGCTCCTGTAAGAGTTCATTCAGTCGAACTTGGCGGTAACTCTGTGGACAATATTTAGATTTGTTGAGTACAGTTCTACTAGAATTATGAATGAGAATTTATTTTCTTACTGCAAATCATGAACAAGCAGAAAATCTCATCTTAAAAAATGTGTAAAAATTACAATAACTTTTTCAGGCTTAAACCTTAAGTGTTTTAAAACCTCATGAGAAATTTTAGAAATATTAAGAATAAAACACATTACAAAGATTTTCATTTTGTAGTGGCTTATTAAATTCTAGGGAGGGGGAAGCAAACAGCATAGATAACATTAAAAAGAAGGTGAGAATGACCAATTTGAGGCAATAGGTTTTCTGTTAAAGAAAATGGATTGAATCTTGATACCAATTTGATTCTCTAAGAACATAGATTATATTCTAGTCTGCCTTTCTTTAAGCTCTCTGAATATTCTCTAAGCACAGAGGGCTGGCTTCAATTAAAAAGCCGCCAAAAGACTCACTTGGAAAAATAACCACGTTGCAATGATGAGAGTAATATTTATTATTGTATTTCACTGGTTCAGAAACCAAAGCGCACATGAGTGATTTGCTCCATTATATAAAACTTTGTTAAAAGTAGGAAGTTTATTACACACCGACATTTTGATTCTAGTTCAGTCTCTCTCTCTTTTTTTTTTCCACTAAATCTAAAAGGCTTTGGGTATTTCTTTCTCAAATTTTTCCAAGTTCAGCTCCTAATTTAGTTTATGTAGGGCATGGTGGGCAGTCAGTCCAAGCAAAGCTTTTGAGGTTTGTGGGCCACAGGGGTCAGGGTCTCAGGGTGGCACTTATCTGGACTTCACTGTCCAAAACCCCATATGGTCCAGTAAAATAAAATCCCACCTGATGAGTTATGAGTTTTTAAATTGATTAACCCGATTTATCCTAAGATTTCTCTTTTTTTCTGAAACAGGGGTTCACTCTGGTCATCCAGACCAGAGTACAATGGCACAATCTCGGCTCACCTCCGCCCCCTGGGCTCAAGCAATCCTCCTGCCTTAGCCTCCCAAGTAGCTGGGACTACAGGCACATACTACCTCTCCAGCCTAATTTTTTAATTTTTTGTAGAGGAGGGGTTTCACCCTGTTAACCAAGCTGGTCTCAAACTCCTGGGCTCAAGCAATCCTCCCACCTCAGCCTCCCAAAGTGCTGAGATTATGTGTGTGAGTAAACCTTAGGACACCCAGCCTTAAGATTTCTTTCTCACATTTGTAAATGCCTGCAATTATACTTACCTACAACGAGATTAGCAGTACTTGAATACTCCTATAAAAGCACTCAAGATTTTGTAGTTTAGAAGTTCTTGTGGTCCCTTTTCATTTCTGTCCAATTCAGGTGTCAATTCTACCTAGTTGTTAACCCCCTGCCCTTTGCATTATTCTTATTATCACCAACTTCACCGGGCTCAGGACAGAAGGCACTTCCCATCTTACTGGGCTCTGTAGAAAGGTTTACCATTTTACATCCATCTCACGATGTGTGCTGGGTCCAGCTTCCATATTCATTCTTCCTGTCATATCATATATTTCCTCAGATGTCTTTATAAGTTTTTCACAGCCTTTGCTTCATCAGGTTAAAATTATTTGTTATTGTGTTAAATTGTGAGTCAATCTAACTTTATCAACTTTGCACACATATTGACTCAAATTATGTTAGGCTGATGGGTCTGTCTCCTGTTCTTTAAAATTAAATTTAAAAGGAGACTTCACAATTTGTACCAATAATCAATTTTTTAAGTTTTAAAAAATAACTGACCTTATGGGGAAAATGAAACAGTTTTCTAAATAATCATATCCACTAAATGATAGAAAAGCACTTGAAAAATGCAGAAAACTTGGATCTTGAATAATGACATTTGACAATAAATATATTGCTTCTTTGTCTTTAAATCAACTACTGTTTCCTTTTTCAGCTAGTTAGAAAGCAAAAAAATTAAGGAAGACAAGTCCTTACCTTTTCCTTGACTGCTTCCAGCTCTGCATCTGTAATTTTCCACGGAGTTTCTCTTTTTAATTTCTCAGCAGTTGTTAAATCTTTGCAGCTTTCATGGAGACGATATGGTTCAATCATCTCTTCAAAGACTTTCCAGCTAAAATTTGAATTATAAAGGAGGCCTCACAGTAGGAAACTAACTCATTATTTCACAGATACTCCAGGTATGACTGGCTCTGCTGGCTGTGGAATCAGAGCTGAATGTCATGCAAATCCTTTAAGAATTACTTTGCAGGGAATTTACTGTGAGTAAAACCATGGCTACAGTACTCCCTCCCTACCCAAGGAAGGGCCTTAGTGTGTTCGAGGCCTTGTTAGCCTATTAGGTATTAGATCTTCAATATTAACAGACAAACACATAGGTAATAATTGTTCTGCAAATACATTTTCTGCATAGTGTAGTCAAAGACATGGTTGCAATATAGACACTTTAGCACACAAATGAGTTTCCACCTGCTTATTGTACAGACTCTCTGCGAGAGATTTATCAGTTAATGTAGGAGATGAACTAGGCTCAATGGGAGTTGAATATGGCTACCCTCACCCTCAGTCCACATGGCAGCTCCCACTCATGGCAGGAGGCCATGGGCAGGTAGGAGGAGAACAGCAAGGGCTCCCACAAGTTGCATGGTTGTAGAACAATGTGGATATTTGCTGCAAGTCATGCTCCCCTTGTCCTTTTGTTGTTTGATGTTGCTGTCTGAGATTTTCAAATGAGTATTATTCAGGTTCATGTTCGGAGGAAGAACAAAAATCAATAATGTTTTAATGCCTAAGAATCGGAGGCTATGTTAGAACATTTAAAAAGAAATTGCTAAGGAGAAAACTAGCAGCTAAGAGCTATAGTACATTTAAAAAATTACTTATAAGAGCCTCATAAGATTTATTTTTAAAAACAATGACACAAAGTAAAACTTACAATTTATGGCAGTAGTTGTCTCTAGTATGCTGCTTTAAGATGATCTCAAGTATGAACAATTTCTTTGGTTTCATATAATGTAGCTTAGTTATAATTGAGTAATTTTGGAATGAATGATAATTAGAATCGATATGCTGTTAGGTCAAGAAATGAAAATATGAAGTAATGAGTTCAATTATCTCACCAACTGGCCTGATTTAGGATTTGCACATAAAAGTGCAGAGATGACAAAGGAGCAGGATTGTCCCTAATAGTGAGCCTTTGTTAAGAGACTGAAAAGATACTTAATGCATTAGACTTCTATTGCATTGATTTATTTAGAAAGGTAGGCAAAGACAGGGAAAGATTAAGACTGATAGGCCCTATTATTCTTTCAGCTTTTATTTCCTATTTCAACAGTGTCATGCCTTTAGAGACCTTTGGGAATGGTCATTACTGTGAACAGGTGCTGGCCTCAGAGTGTAGGGTCTGGGTTCTCCTCTAGCTCTTGCATTGTCCTCCTTGGCCTGGATATTCTAGGCTATAAAATGGGAGTAACAATGGCTGCTAGAAACTGGTTTGAGAGTCACTGTGATGATTTGGGTGACAGCCCTCTGAAAGCATGCAGTGCGTTGGAAAGGCAAGACATCACTTTACTCAGCAGCCATGGGATTGAGATTAGCAATAGGAGAGGCTCTCTGTTTAAGTTATTCACATGCTTATTTTAATCCAAATCCTTGCTAGAAAGCACAGTACAAAAATAGTTTCCTAAGAAATAGAAGGTGGAGTAGAGGTTGCTGGTTGTCTCCCCGGCATCCATACTACGTTTTCCTCATTGCAGTTTCAGGGGGAATAACTCCAATGACAACATCAGCCAATCAGCACAACTCTATGCCTTCTTCCAGACTGATTGCCCAGGGGTGGGCACATAACACCAGTAAGCTTGAACTGATAAGCACCCGCTATTATGCTGACCACAGTAATGGCTCAGTGGCTTAGGTTAGTGAACCCAGAATGGAGTCCTGGACACTGAGCTCAATGATCTGAGAAGAGACAAACTTTTATAGAACATACATGAACAAGTAGGTAGTCCTGGTTGCAATTGATAGTCCATTTGTTTTTATAAGTGAAATCAACTTTGATGGATGCTTTTATAAAAAAAAAAAAGTAGGGAGACTGCAAGAAAATTAGTCCTTGATTACAAAATTAACCTTCTAGATTAAGCTTAGCCTGAAATCCAACCTATGCTTCTATTTTTAAGTTATATATGAAAGTAATTCCTGTCGTTGAAATCTCTGTGAGTTGTTTTTTTTTTACTTGCAATTGAAACCTGCTAAGTGACACAGGAGGTAGTAATGGGGCTGTATTTGCCCATTCTTTTTTCTGTGAATTCTTACTGTTCCTTCTCTGCTTTAATCTTTGATTTGTCTATCCTTGGGCTCATCCTTGAGCTGCCATTTTTCATTCTCCTAGCTAGGGGATCCTGACATAGCTCAAGATTTCTATTTTGGCTGGGTGCGGTGGCTCCCCCCTGTAATCCCAGCACTTTGGGAGGCAGAGGTGGGCGGATCACAAGGTCACGAGTTTGAGACCAGCCTGGCTAATATGGTAAAACCTTGTCTCTATTAAAAACACAAACATTTGCTGGGTGTGTTGGCGTGTGCCTGTAGTCCCAGCTACTTGGGAGGCTGAGGCAAGAGAATTCCTTCAACCTAGGAGGTGGAGGTTGCAGTGAGCTGAGATCGTGCCACTGCACTCCAGCCTGGGTAACAGAATGAGACTCCATCTCAAAAAAAAAAAAAAAAAACATTTCTAATTTGATTCTCATTAAATCTGATTTTTTTCCTTATAAGTACTTTTAACTGACTATGGAATGTTACATGCTATTAAATATAAATAATAATTCACTTTTTAAAAAAACAATAGCTGCTCTGCCTTATCCATCCTTGTTCCTCATAAAAACTCTAAAATTTTTTAAATTGCGTATTTTCCTTCCAAGTCCACATAAAATTTCTTCTCTCAAAATAATGTACCAGTTGTTTCTGGGACTACTCTAACATCTTTAAACTAAATTATCTACTTAATTGCTTCTAGATTTTCTTTGATTTCCACATAAAGATTGTTGTCTTTTTGTCCTGTGACTTTTAATTTAGTCTATACAATAAAAAATGGAATTTAACCACAAGAGCTTTTCAGTTTCTCCTGGCTCAATTATTTTCTCATTAGCTTTGCTTTTGTACTCCCTTTCACCCTGGCCCTACTATGTTTATAGATAATGTTGCTATGATAAAATTCCTCCATCAAAACTTACTGATGTTTTACGGGTAGTTGAAAGATTTATTAAAGGCAATTTGAGGGCATTTAAAATTAGCCTCCAACATGGAAATCATTGACAAACTATTTTTGACATTGTGTATCACTTGACGACCAACAAAGAATAGTGATCGAGGGATAGTGTAACAGCAGGTAAGCGCTGCCTGGCCAAGGTCCAAGTGGGAGCTGAAACTGGGCCAGTGTTCTATTCTCTAAGCCTTAGTCCCTGGGTCTGGGGCTACAGCAGCCCGGATGAAGAGTTCTCTTTCCCAGATTAGACCATCCAGGGGAGTTGTCTTAATTAAGGTATTACAAATGTGCCAGATGGGCTACTAGTGGCCATCTGTGAGATTTATTGAATGACCAAACTGTGTTCTATAATAGGGTTACTTTCAGGTATTGGAACAGCCATTGCCAACATCAGATATCGACTGTTTTTTAAAGTCATATGGCATCACTTATGGCAGGAAGCTGAAGAGAGGACGATGTCTCTTTCAGCACACTCCTTCTGGTGGCCTCTTGTTTCTTCAGCAGGGTATACTGGCCACAAGGATTTTTTTATTTCATTAAGAATGGATTTGCTTTTTCTACATTTTCCTTAATAGCTTGAAATAACAGAGAGAAAATCTCCAAAATTTTGGAAACTAATTTATTTCCTGACAAAAAATTAACTCTCTTAATTCCAGGATAATGAGGACATACGATAAATACCAAATTAACACGGTGGACATCAGAAGAGGACATCATGGGACAAAGGTCAGAGTAGTAAGAAGAAGAGTGTCCAGACTATGAAAAGTATTCAGAGAATAAGGAGGCTTGGTTAATGGAAGAGGTATGTCAGCCTTCCCAGTGACAGGACAGAAAGGGCGGCCATGCAGGGTGATGACCATGGAAGCTGGACAGAGACTAATATAAAAGAAGGGGAAGGAAGCAAGGACTTGGGTAGAGAAAACCAGATTGACAAGTAAAGAGACAAAGAAATAGAGGGAAAAATTAATCAGTAAACACTGATAATGCTTAGCTAAGGATAAGACCAACAACAGCAAGAAGAATTTGGCTATCAGAAGTGGATGAGGCCAGGTGTGATGGCTCATGCCTGTAATCCCAAAACTTTGAGAAGCCAAGGTGACAGGATCAGTTAAGCCCAGGACTTTGAGACCAGTCATGGCAACACAGTGAGACTTTTTCTCTACCGAAGGAAAAAAAAAATAAAAAACTGGGTATAGCAGCTGATGCCTATAGACCTAGCTACTCAAGAGGCTGAGGCAGGAGGATCTCTTGAGCCTAGGAATTAGAGGCTGAAGTGAGTTATGATTGTGCGACTGCAACCTAGTGTAGATGACAGAGCGAGACCCTGTCTCAAAAAGAAAAAAAAGTAGTGGGTGAATAACTCAGACCCAGCATTAAGTTAGGGCTTATGGAAAATCCGAAGTCTGTAGACACAGTGCCTACCCACTAGACAACAGAAAATGCAAATGCCAAAATGCAGTGACGTAGAGAGTACAATGACATAGAGAATGGAAATTCTTTGAATAAAGAGTGGAAGGCTACCAGAGATTATTGTATGACAACCCAGTTCATATCAAAATGTTAATTCCATTTATCAATGAGAATGACAGGTTCTTAATTTTTCTTATGTATTTGGAACTGTAGAAATATAAGAATGGAAGGCATTAGAGTATGATGTAAAGAAATATCACAAAGTAACAAACAGTTTAACCCTGTCAATTGCAGCTTTCTTATCACAGTTAATGTATTTTTCTTTCTTTTTTTTTTTTTTTTGAGATGGAGTCTTGCTCTATTGCCCAGGCTGGAGTACAATGGCATGATCTTGGCTCACTACAACCTCCACCTCTTGGGTTCAAGCGATTCTCCTGCCTCAGCCTCCCAAGTAGTTGAGATTACAAGTGCCCACTACCAAGTCTGGTTAATTTTTGTATTGTTAGTAGAGACGGGGTTTCACCATGTTGATCAGGCTTGTCTTGAACACCTGACCTCAGGTGATCTGCCTGCCTCGGCCTCCCAAAGTGCTGGGATTACAGGTGTGAGCCACTGTGCTCAGCTCTTTTTTCTTTTCTTTTTCTTTTTTTTTGAGACAAGGTCTCACTCTGTCACTTTCAGGCTGCAGTACAGTGGGGTGATCGTGGCTCGCTGCAGCCTTGACTGCCTGGGTTCATGTGATCCTTCTGCCTCAGCCTCCTCTCTAGAACTACAGGCATACACTACCAAGCCTGGCAAATTTTTGCTATTTTTGGGGGGTCTTGCTATGTTGTCTAGGCTGCTCTGGAACTCCTGGGCTCAAGCGATCCTCCCGGCTTGGCCTCCCAAAGTGCTGAGGTTACAGGTGTGAACCACCATACCTTGCAGTTAAGGTGTTTTGTGGAGCCATTTTAACTGATCCACCACCTTGGAAGGATCGTGAATAACCTCAAAGAACATGAAATTCAAGTTTGTTTCATCAGTAAGAATGCATCTTAAATAGGAATAATTTTCATTAGTTATTAAGCTTATATAGAATAACAGTAAGTCAAAAGAAGAGGCAAGAAGTCTTGAAAACTGTGGAATTATAACACATCAGGAAGTACAAGAGGAAGAAGAAATGATGGTCAACAGAAAAGGGAAGAGATTTGACAGAACTGTGATAATCTAAGCCATTCCAAGACCTTCACATCCCTCTGTATGATTCCTCTTGGAGGCCCCACTCCACACGAAATCAAATGTATTTAATTGCATCTGAATGCAACAGAAAATATGATTTTCGACTATAAATAATTGAAGACATTTTATAATTGCTAAAGGATAACTCTAAATATTTCATTTAATTTATAATTGGCTATGGTTTCTAAACAATCTTCTTGCACCCTTGCAAACTACTGTGAAGATCCAACCTGCAACTGTTTTCAAATATCAGTGTTGCCAGGTGCGATGGCTGGTGCCTATAAACCCAGCACTTTTGGAGGCTAAGGCGGGCAGATTGCTTCAACTCAGGAGCTTGAGACCAGCCTGGGCAACATGGCACAAGCTTGTCTCTGCCAAAAAATTAGCCAGTGTGGTAGCATGTGCCTGTGGTCCCAGCTACCTGGGAGGCTGTGGGTAACTCCCCATATAGGTATCGAGGAAGGATAGCTAAGCAGAATCCTGGCACAATTAAGACCTGGAGAATATCTCAGTTTATAGTGTTACTACTCAGTTATTTCCTTTTATATAATCCTTTATATAATCATATATTAGTTTACAGAATTAGGGCTTGGAGAATATCTCAGTTTATAGTGTTACTGCTCAGTTATTTCCATGTGTATATATATATATATATATATATATAAAACTATATCTTAGTTTATAATTGGAGGAATGCCTAGAGCAGACACAGTGCAGAGCATGATTTAAGGGAAAAACAGTTATACCCAGACAAGAATCCATGGCCCAGGCGGCAGCGTTCAGTATTATAAAGATATCTGCTGTATGGCAGGCTTGCGCAAGAGCCACTCCCCCTGATAAAGGAGTTGTAGGACCTTGCTCCAGTTCTTGTGGAAGGCTGCCCTCAGAACGGCAATCCACCTTGGTGACTGTGAACTTTATCAGCTCTTGTTACTGTGCTGCTCGAAAAGCGTTTTCCCATAGAACTCACTGGAAGCTGCCAGCAGGTGGCGTAGCCCCTGACAGCTCTGTCACTGCTATGTGACTTAAAACATCCTCCTTTAATTCTTAGTAGCTTGCCCATAGATAGAGGTATTGCACACTGCACCCGCTTCACTGCGCATGGCCCACCTCCATGCCTCGGTGACCTAATGGGGGTGGACCCCTTACTACACACGGCCCTTGCCTCAATGACCAAATGGGAATGGACCCCTTGCTGCTCACTGTCCACCTCCCAGCATAGGTGACCTAATGGGGGTGGACCCCTTGTTTTATTGCTCATGACCCTATCTGTATCCTTAAAGATGACTTCACTCACTGCCCTGCCCCCTAACCTATACACAATAAACACGCTTCTGGACATTCGGGGCCTCGCCTGATTCCACTCGTAGGTGGTGTGGCCCCCCAAGCCCAGCTGCATTTTCCTTGTACTTCTGTGTCCTGTCTCTTTATTTCTCGGATCCTGCGCCTCAGCACAGCATAAGGGATACCCCATGACCCTGTGGGCCATCAGCCCTACAGAATGCTGAGGTGGGAGAATGACCTGAGCCCAGGAGGCAGAAATTGTTGTGAGCTGAGATTGCACTGCTGCACTCCAGCCTGGGCGAAAGAGTGAAACGACTTCTCAAAAAAAACCACAAATAGGTTCCCTATTAAAATATTAGTTCCCTTACAGGAAGAGAGAGAGAGAGCAGAATTTTATAGCAAGGAGGTGGCCGTCTACACACCAGGAAGAGGGCCCACAAAGGGAACTGAGTAAGTTAGCAATCTTCTCGCACCCTTGAACTTGGACTTCCCAGAACTTTGCCAGAACCGTGAGAAATCAGTATCTGTTGTTTAATCTACCCAGTCCATGGCATTTTGTTAGAGCAGCCTGGGCTGACGAAGACAATGATGGAGTTGATAAATATAACAATTAATGAGGATTAAAATAATGCCACATTTTGAAGATATTTAAATGATTACTTTGATTTTGTCATTTTTAAATTTATTTTGAAGCCAGTGCATTTCTTTTCCAGGCTTCAGATAGTTTTAGAGGTCCGCCCTCCAAATTCACAGGCCTTACATGTTGGGTCTTCAGTGCCTCAAAGCTAAAATGGCCCTGGAATGTTGGTATTGCCAGTGTGCCAAGAAGACACAAGCCGTTTCCACATCTTCTCCATCAGAGCTCCCCATCCAGGCTGCCCACGAGTAACTCTGAATAACAAGACTTGGCCTGATAGCTCTGGTCAGAATAGCATGACCTTGCACTTCCGGCTTCTCTTGCCACCATAGAAACCAACAACAGGAAAGGCAACTCTAAAATACTAACTAACCTGTTTCAGCAGTCCTCCCTCTCAGACTTTTCTTCACTGTAAAAGCTTTTCTTCCCTTTAGAATGTACTTGTTAGTTCTATGTTATGATTATTTAAAGGCCCTTCTTATTAGATCCTATCAAGAAGTCACTGCAGTAAATACGTAACGTTTTTACTGTTTCATAGTCAACACAAAAGAGAATGAGAGAGTACCAGGGGTTATCAATGGATCTTGTTAAATATTTCATACCTCTCTTTGTTTGGCTTAATGTTGATGTCACCAATGATATGGATGTCTGCAAATTTTATCCTAAATTTGCTCAGAAGGGAAGCCATTCTGAAAATATAAAAGGAAAATACTTCATCATTGCATATTTAACTATTTTCAATCAAAGAGTTTTGTGTTTGAGTTAAGACATCAAAAGCAATCACATCTCATTTCAGCTTAGCTTTCAGACAGAGGCCTTTTGGTTGGTGTTTGATTTTCATTACAGTACTTGATGAACGCATCACGTGTGGGCCAAGCTATTTCACTGACGGCATAAAGAAACCCCTCTAGGTGCAGACACTGGCAACAGCCAATCCAACTCTGCATTTATATCCCAGGGAACAGAATGCAAATTTGTCCACATTTCTTATGATTTGAAAGACAGCAAATCTTAATACGTATGGACTATCATATTAGTGATAATTTCTATAGAGTTACTCACAAACTACTGGCAAGTAGCTATCACATAATATAGCATAATATGATACATTATATATGATTAATTATATCTATAAACACATAAATTATATGTTATATAATATATAAACATATATTATAAAATTATACAACCTCATATATTTATATGAGGTTTTTTTCCCAGCAATGGATAACTTTGATATAATGTCAAAGTTACAGAAAAGTTGTAAAGATAATACAAAGAACTCCCAGATTCACCAGTTATTTATATTTTGTCCCGTTTGATTTACCGTTTTCTTTGTTTCTGTCTCTTTGTATTTATCTATCTATTTACTTCTATCTCCATCTATCTACCTATCTACTCTATTCTTTTAAAGTCAGTTGCAGATATCAGGCACCTTTACCCCTAAATTTTTCAGTGAGCAGTTTCTAAGAACAAGGACAATCTTTTATATAAAGAGAGCAGATTTTTAAAAATTGGACAATTGAACATTGATGTCATACTATCATTTAAGTCACAAAACATTTTCAAATTATACTAATTGTTTCAATAAAATATTGCCAACTTTAATAAATATAAAATATTATAGGCATTATGTTAGTTTCCATGCTAATGTGATCCTCTTTAAGTGGAATTAAATATATATAATATCAATATATATATAATATATTGCTTTGATTGAAAAGACATATATGCATAATATATATGCAGTCATACACCATATAACAACATTCTGGTCAATGACAGACTGCATGTACGATGGTGGTCCCATAAGATTGTAGTGGAATTGAAAAATTCCTATCACCTAGTGATGTCATAGGTGCAGTAATGGCATAGCACAACGTATTATTCACACGTTTGTGGTGATGCTGGCGTAAACAAACCTACTGCACTGCTAGTCATATAAAAACACAGCACATACAATTACATACAGTACATCATACTTGATCACAATAATAAATGATTGTTACTGGCTTCTATGTTTACATACTATGCCTTTTATTATTTAGATTGTACTCCTTCTACTTATTAAAAAGTGAACTGTAAAACAGTTTCAGGCAGGTGCTTCAGGAGGTATTGAGAGGAGAGCGCTGTCATCATAGGAGATGAGAGCTCCATGCCTGTTACTGCCCTGGAAGACCTTCCAGGGGACACAAGAAGTGGAGGTGGCAGACAGTGATATTGATGATCCTGATCCTGGGGAGGCCTGCACTCATGTGTGCGCTTGTGTTTCAGTTTTTAACAAAAATATTTGAAAAGAAAATTTTTAAAAATAGAAAAAAGCTTACAGAATAAGGATGTAAAGAAAACACTTTTGCACAGCTGTACAATATGTTTTAAGCTACGTGTTATTACAAAAGGGTCAAAAACGTAGACATTTATAAGGTAAAAAAGTTACCGTAAACTAAGGTTAATTGGTTACTTTATTATTGAAAAAAGTATTTTTTATTCCCAGGTTCAGCTTTGAAGAAAAATATTTCCTTATAAATCTTGTGTAGCCCAAGTATACAGTGTTGATAAAGTCTACAGCAGTGCAGTCATGTCCGGGGCCCTCGCTTTCACTCACCACTCACTCACTGACCCGCCCACAGCAACTGCCAGTCCTGCAAGCTCCATTCATGGTAAGTGCCTTATACAAGTGGACCATTTTTCATCTTTTATGCTGTATTTTTACTGTACTGTTTCTATGTTTTGATATACAAGTATTTACCATTGTGTTTCAATTGCCTGCAGTATTCAGCTCAGATTTGTAGCCTAGGAACAACAGTGTATGCCATGTAACCTAGGTGTGTAGTAGGCTATACCGTCTAGGTTTGCGTAAGCACGCTATGATGTTTGCGCAATGATGAAACTGCCTGACGTATTTCTCAGAATGTAACAATGTAGCAATGTATAACTACATATGTGTGTGTGTGTGTATGTATATATATATATATATATATATATATATAGACAGACAGACATATTCACACTCACAGCCCAATACATACTAAGAGGGAAGAGAAAATATTAAAAATTACTGAATAAAGTCTGTCATTATTTTATGACTTCTAGAAGTGCTGGTTCCAGGAAGGGCTCAGAGCTTAAATATGACCTGAGGAAATCAGAGCGGCTGAAGGTGGTTTTCTGGATTTCCACCACAGACCTCTACATATGTCATGTTCTCAGCATGCTTCTTATTCTCACAACTGGCATCAGCTCTCAATGGCTAAATTAATAAGAAAGATACAGACTTACCCTATGAGATTTTTATTTCTTTAAATTAGAAGAGTTCTCTAAAGTCATCCCTTTATTTTTATTTTTATTTTTTTAAAGATGGGGTTTCACCATGACGGCCAGGCTGCTCTTGAACTCCTGACCTTAGGTGATCCACCCACCTTGGCCTCCCAAAGTGCTAGGATTACAGGCTTGAGCCACCGTGCCCGGCGCAGTCATCCCTTTTAACTCTTGCAAACTACAAAGGAGAAACTGGGGACCCAGATATGTTTGGTGGCTGTTGCAAAGTCCTGCAGCTCCTTGATGGCAGAGCTGGGGCTAGAATCCAGGTGCCGTCTCTCCATTTAGTTCTCTTCTACATATACTGTGCTAAGAGTGACTGCCATGAATTAGGAGGTTTGAATTCCCCCAGAAAAAAACAACTGGACACAAATTCCTTCAGGCTCTTCTTTTCTTGGAGGCTTTTACTGGTCAGAACAAAATAAGCATTATATGAGATAATGAATCTTCCATTCAAGACTTGAGATGAAGCTTCTGTGGCACATTCCTTTTGGAAAGCATTTGTGGCAGAGGGTCAGAGGACCTTCTTGAAGACAGCGATCAGGAAAAATATGCAAATCATTTACTGACCAGAAAACCAAGTAAACATGAGGCCTATTCTGGTGGCTTTGTCTTTAAGTCTATTGTATCTCAGAGACATGCAAGTTATTAGAATTAAAGCATTAAAGCAATGAACCTCTGAAATGACCTAACACGTGAGTGGTAAACTACTTACACAATTTTTTCTTCCTCAATGCGGTTGATCTTCCCTCCGACATAGATTCTTAACTTACAGTCTTTCCATTTTTTTCTGAGAGTCAAGATATAGGGGATAAGAAGTGTTAACCCTGGAATAAAGAGTAAATTGGACAGGATGAGTATGTCTAAATGGAAGGAAATGAATAACTTTATATCTTTATTCATTCCCACCTTCTTAGTTCTTTATAGTTCCAATCTTTGGAGAACACAGAAATGTTATTCTCTAACCAGTATTTTCTCATATACCTCCTTTGGCAGTTTTAAGTTTATCAAAACTGCAATTCTTCTCCCTTGTGTATTTTCTGAAAGTTTTTACCTCCATCATCAAACAACCACCAAACATCAATTGTGCCTTTTTCTTGTTTCTTTTTAAATTGAGTGCTTGCTTCCACCAGCTTCTGGTTGAACTCTCCCACATGCATTGACTGGATTGTGTTGATGCTGCCATCTGAAACGGAAGAGGGATTGATGCACCTGTTTGCTTTCGAGGGCAGGAACAAAATAACTTTCTAATCAATCTACTGGTGAAAATAGAGAAAAGCTCACAGATTCCTGTTTATTATACTTAAAATAAATAGTGACTCTATTCTGCAAAAGGCAGAGGTAAAAATCTAATCTCACAATAATTTAGACCACCTTCAATAGTTAAATAAATATTGGCAGTTAACAGTTAAGTAAAACAGCTTTATGATTATAGTTTTTATTAAAAAGCAATGGATTATTTTCAGAACTTTAGTAATCTATCTCAGAGTGGAGTTATTATTTAGGCATGTGATAATACTAATAGCCAAAATATCCCCATTTCTCCAAATCTCAGATATAAATCAACTTAATAATATTAATATTTTTATATTTACTTAAAGAACATGTGGTAAGTGGTTTTCTAGAAATAAGCTATAGAATCAGAAATATCCTTTAATTAGGGAATTCATTCATGAAGCACTAGTTTGGTTTAAGTTCCATTCAGGTCTGGTTTATAAAATTTGCCAGGGGCAATGTGCATCTTTTTTTTTCCTTTTGAGGTGGAGTTTCACGCTTGTTGCCCAGGCTGCAGTGCAACGATGCAATCTTGGCTCACCATAACCTCCACCTCCCGGGTTCCAAGCAACTCTCCTGCCTCAGCCTCCCGAGTAGCTTGGATTACAGGCATGCACCACGCACAGATAATTTTGTATTTTTAATAGAGGCGGGGTTTCTCCATGTTGGTCAGGCTAGTCTCGAACTCCTGACCACAGGTGATCCGCTGGCCTTGCCTCCCAAAGTGCTGGGATTACAGGTGTGAACCTCTGTGCCCGGTGACCATGTGCATCTTGAATTCTCTATGACTATTTGGTCCCATAGTTGGCCTCACTTACTCCTCTGTTTTCAAGGAATCTTGTAAAGCTAAGGTAAAGCCATTTGAGCTATTTGAATCTTTGTGAATTAGATGAAAATAAAAGCTAGAAAATATGGAAATACAAAACATCTTTAATTGAGTTATAATTAAGGGTGCATATAAAATAGTTAAAAATTTTTAAAATGCAATTTCTATCCTAAGATGGATACAATGAAAGTGTACCAGGGAACTAGGCCAGTGTTGGGGCAGGACCCTTGTTCCTGTTTGCCAGGAGGGGTTTCTTTGCCACAGTGTACATAGCATTTCTCATATCTGTATCTTTGTAAGTTGTGACTTTATTGCTCTATTTCAAAGAGGTGGTGTCAGCCCGGTGCTTAGAGAAGGGCTGACAGCCTCTTCAGAGCTTTCTCTCTGATCTAAGAGGTTCTGAAGATGCTTTGTTCTATCTTGTGCCGTTTCCATGTTTGGAGTCTGTCATTCTGAAGCAGTGACCTGATATTGCTTTTTACATCCCTGGGACCACTGAGGGAGAAAAATTTATTTACAAAATGGACCAAGCTCTGCCCTTACAGGCAAGTCAGAACATCCAGAGGCTTCCTGTTCATACTCAGGTGCCTGGGGGCAGGATTGGTTCTGATCTAGAACTCAAAAGAGTTGACAACTAACAGAAGCCCAGAGTAGTGAATGGGCCCACTTTAGAGCTGTGTTTAAACTTCTAGGTATTAAAACAGTACATCATATTACTACTTTTCTAAACAATTTGACATGTTGACTTTTGGAAGAGTATATTTTTGCCAAAATAAGTATTGTGATGCAGAAATAAGCTTCCAGAATAAATAACAAGTCCTGGTGTCATAATAAGGATGTTAATGCTTCCCTCTCCCCAGCTAGAGCACACTATTGGGCTATGACTTTTGAATTTTCCAGACTGTACAACTTAACAGAGCAGATTTAATGGATTGTTAACTTTTCTCACAATTAAACCAAATAATTAGAAAGAAAAGAAGATAGTAGTTAGCATCCAGAAACAGTTTTATTTAAATATTTTCACCCTGAAAGTCCTGATGTAGCTTCAACTTGAATTCAAACACATCATTTACGTCATTTTAAGGTGGACTGTAAGGAATAGGTCACAGCCCATGGGACATCCCTGGAGCTCAGGAGCCCAGAGTATTTGAAGTGAGGCAATATTTGGATTTCCGATCATTCTCCTTAGAGATATAAACTATTATTTTATAGGTGAAATTTCAACCGTGGGTTGTAGTAGGAGAGCAAACAGACAAGTACAGGGTAGGAGACGGCCCTGTCGAAGAGCCTCTTTAAAGGACTGGCGCCGGTCAACCTAGACCAGAAGCCTGCTAAGTCTCCACTTGGATCCTGCTATTTGATTTGGAGACCCTCCCAGAGAAACCATCTTTTCCTGGCCTCACACCAAAGTATGACTTCAGTAACTTCAGGACATGCGTACAAAAAGAAATGCCTGGTGACATTCTGATTTTCGACCAGCAGAGGTCACTGTGTACCTCATTAAACTCAAACCTATAGCGTTTTGGAAAGTAATTTTCCAGAAACCAAACATTTGAATCATCTGTTTATAAAATGTATAACAAACTGTCCCATCCTCTGATCCTCTGTCCCAGGACTGCATGCCAGAAGTTCACAAATAAGTGTACCATTTAGATGAAACCTACAGGTTGTAAGTACCAATAAAGTTCTAAGCCCTGCATTCTGGTTTATGATAAAGACACTTTTTTTTTTGAAATCAGTGTTCTAGCTGGATACCGTATTTGCATGTACTAGTCATCTTTCAGTTCCCTGAAATGTCTGCAAGGGAAGGGTGTGTGTGGATAAGACAGTTTGGGTATTGGCTCTTAAATTTCTATATCCCCTTTCCATCTTAACTGAGAAATTTCTGTTTTATGGCATGCAATCTGCTGAAGCACTATTTGACTCCCAAACCAAATATTATGTTTTAAAGATAATTTTCGACAGTAAGATGGTACAAAGCACTTAATGATGATGACAAATGACAATAGCTACTACCTTTTATCCATACTACCTTCTAGAAATAAATTTTTCAGTTCCTACCCACGCTCAATGCCCCCAACATCTTAAATGCTGACTTCAGACTCTTTATAGATCCTCAAATAGTGACTCATCTTGTAAAATTTCTGGCAAATTTTAAAAAGTGCTTACCGTTTTTAGGCGTTGTCTTGGTGATGTTCAACTTGCCAGCTTTTTTAAACAAGCCTCGGATGCCTCCACTTCCCTCTTCACACTCGTTGTCTTTGATAGTGGCTTCCAATGCTAGTCTCTCCTGTTCTAATCTCTCTAATTCCTCTGATGAAAGAAGACAAAATCGATACTTAACTCAGAGCTATAAAGTTTCTAGAAAGTCTTATAAACTTTTAATACTTAAAATGGAATATATGCAATAAAATAATTGTTTGTATATAGCATATTTTTAAAAATGATTTTTACATATTACCTTTTAATAAAAGTAATATATTTTGGCTGGATGAGGTAGCTCATGCCTTTAATCCCAGGACTTTGAGAAGCCAAGATGGGTGTGGCACTTGAGCCCAGGAGTTTGAAACCAGCCTGGACAACATGGTGAAACTCCATCCCTATGAATGATACAAAAATTAGCCAGGAGTGATGTGTAGTGCCAGCTACTTGGGAGGCTGAGGTGAGAGGATCACCTGAGCCTGGGAGGTAGAGGCCGCAGTGAGCCATGGTCATGCCACTGCGTTGCACCTGAGTGAAATTCTGACTCCAAAAGAAAAAAAAATTCCATAATACATCACAGTAAATTGTATTCAGAAAATTTGTCACAACTAGCTTAGAAAAATAGCTCTACATGGCTGGGCGCGGTGGCTCACGCCTGTAATCCCAGCACTTTGGGAGGTCGAGGCGGGCAGATCATGAGGTCAGATTGAGACCATCCTGGCTAACAAGTGAAACCCCGTCTCTACTAAAAATACAAAAAATTAGCCAGGTGTGGTGGCATGTGCCTGTAGTCCCAGCTACTCGGGAAGCTGAGGCAGGAGAATCGCTTGGACCAGGGAGGTGGAGGTTGCAGTGAGCTGAAATCGTGCCACTGCACTCTAGTCTGGATGACAGAGTAAGACTCTGTCTCAGGTGGCACGTGCCTGTAGTCCCAGCTACTCGGGAAGCTGAGGCAGGAGAATCGCTTGGACCAGGGAGGTGGAGGTTGCAGTGAGCTGAAATCGCGCCACTGCACTCTAGTCTGGATGACAGAGTAAGACTCTGTCTCAG